GGGGGGGGGGGGGGGGGGAAGCCTCCGTTGTCCTCGTCGTGGCGGATGCGCGATCACGACGAGGGGTAGATACGACGGAAGGGAGTGTTGTTATAGCCCGACTATTTCTAGTGCTGTGTTCCGGGGGGGTATCCAAGTGACACATCGTCTCTCGTGCCTTCAGATCCTTTGGAAGGACAATGAAGAAACGAATGATGGGGGGGGGGAGGGAGGAGGGAGGAGAAGAACGAAGAGTTCGCCGATGGTATCTCGACGACGTCTTGGCGGTCGCTCGAAGAAGGGGAAGACGCAAAGGAGGAGGCGAAGGAACAATTGTCTATTAACGATTAACCGAGTTTTATCTTAGAAGAATGTCCACCCGGGGCCGGTCGGGCCCCGAGGAGTCGGAGGAGGAGCGAACGAGGGGGGAGAGCTTTAGGAATAGCGACGAAACAGTTGAAGTAGAAGATGGTTGCGCGCACGCTCAGAGGAAAGAGATCGGTCGAGCAGCCTCGGACTGTCGGGAAAAGAACGAAGCGACTGAATGAGAGCGAGACGGGGAAGCAGTTCTGTGACCGAGACAGTCTCTCTTTCTCTCCCTCTTTCTCCTCTCTTTCTCTCTCTCTCTTTCTCTCCTTCTCTCTCTCTCTCTCTCTTTCTCTCTCTCTCAGTTCAACAATAACAACAACAGTATTAACACGAAACGGGAAACTAGGTACGGCGGATATGTTGATCCGTGAGCATACAGGTTCAGGTGTGATACACCGAGAGACAAACGACTCTAGACGACCTCGAGCGAGCCGAGGGAGGCGTTTTAAACAGTAATAAAAGCCGCTTCGTAGTTCCAGACTGTCGACCTGCTGAAGGCTGAAGGCGGAGAGGAAGGCACGGTAGAACAATGAGGGAACAGTTAGCCACTAGTCCTAGCTAGTCCAGTTTCGAGGGAGTATCAAAGCCACAAGTCGCCTTGTAGCTCTATACCGATGTGCGAAGAGGAACGCGCGAGGGCGAATTAGATAGCAAGGTTGCTGGCTCCTCGAGGGGGAGGAGGAGGATCGACGGGGCGACGAAGAGGCCGTCCGGCAGCTCGACGATCGTAGGAAGCCGAGATCACCGGGGGAAGGTGCGCGGACCGTCTCTCTCGTCGCTCTCGGAACGGCCAGGACGAGGAGTAATCGATAGTAGGCGAATAAAAAATTTTAAAGAAATAGACACGTTAGTTTGTAGAATCGCGCTTCGAAGAAGCGCAGGGTCGGCGCAGGAGGAGGAGAAGGAAGAGGAGGAAGAGGAGAAGCGGACGATGGAAGAATGACGAAGGAAGCTCGCTCGCTCGCGCTTCGGATGGTGCTTCAAGGAAGTGAAGTTTCAAGGGAACCTTTCTCCGTCCGAGGGGGAAGGATTAGAAATGTAGAACGAGGGGAGGGGGATACGTCACCGTTCCGGGTTGCCAAGGAGGCACTCTGGAGGAACGATGGGCGATAGAACAATAGAAATAAACAGTTAGGAACAAATAGGAACCTAATATCTATATATATATATATATATATATATATAGCGTTGTGTGCTTCGGGGTCGGGCTCGACGGGCGACAGGGTGTGTGAGACGAAGAGACTGAGAGGAAGGAGACGGTGGTCGTCGACGGTGGTCGCTGTCGGTACGCGCCGGCGGATACATCGCCGTCGTGCCGGCCGAAACAAGCGTGCACGCGCGAAACAAGACTCCACGAGAAGTTCTGTGTATTTACTGTGTAAATATTAAGCGTGAATACACGCTCGCCGCGGGGGTGCAGCGGGGTCGAATGCAGCGGTGTCCGGCGCGAGTCCCGTCCCGTCATGCGCAGTGGGAAGAAGAGCGCTCGTTTCGGCCATAAATCTCGCTGGACGGTCTGACGATAGGACGAATTGATTTCGATGATTCTTTTTTTTATGATTTCTTCCTTTTTCAATTTTCCCTCATTGTGGACCTGCGAGTTCCCCAACATAATGCCAAAATTCATAATGGCGGCAATACGGCGATACGATCATCGGGAATATTGTGTGAAATCTACACGGGGAAAATATTGTGGTAGAAATTGCCACAGAATTTTGCGACGTTCGACCATAACCAGAATGATCAACGCGAATTATTACGTTGCAATTTTGAGCGATATATTCCATTGTACACATCACCGAAGATTACAACATACATGATAATTTCGGTCATAATTCATGGGTATAGTCCAATTATACAATTTTATGGCAATTTTTGAAAGATTTTCTCCGTGTACGATATTGAATAATTTGATAGCGAATCTGAAGATCAAGTCTTGAGAATTCAAAATGGCAGATTCGATGTGACAGTCAAAAATACAATAGAAATAACGACCGTATTAAATTTCGGTATCTTTGACTGCCATGTCGAATCTGCCATTTTGAGATTTTCGAGATCTGACCTATCGACATGTAGTACTAAACGGAATATGCGGCAAAGTTTCTTTGACCTATAAACTTATTTCGGCACGAATATATCGAATGTCGTAGAATTTCAATATTTTTGACAGGCATGTTGTCATATCCATTCCGTATCGAATTTTAACATTATTTTGGAAAATTTACAGGTCTGATGCAAAGGGAAATTTTATAACGGAAAAATTAAACGAAGAATCTGCGAGATCGGTAAATCATCAGACCGTCCAGCGACTTTCGTCCAAGACGAGCGTCCTTCTTTCCACTGTGCGTCGCTTCGCGGCGGGACGGCTCGCGCTCGACGTTGTAGTCCCGCAACATTCTTGTCTGGCGTTCCTGTCCTTCTCCGTCAGCGTGGTTTCGTCGATATTCAATGTAATATGACCGGAGACGCCGCGTCGGGGTCCCGGCTGTCCGGACAACCAGCGTCCGTGTCGTCCGGTCTAAAAAAAAAAGGGGGCGGCACGGAAAATCAGCGTTCACGAGGGGGATGAGAGACGAGTCCCCGGGACGTAGCGTCGAAGTTACACCGGTAGTCCACTTCGTATTTGGAAACTTAACGATAATAGATCTCGTACAGATAACAGATATTGCACTGGAATTGGAACGCACGAGTCCTGAGTGCCGTCGCGCAAGAAGGTAGACCGACGGTTCGGCTTGGAGGGAAGAGAGCGAGACTCGCTTGAAATTTTCGAGTCTTGGGAAAAATAGTTATATATAATCATATAAAATTTTATATATATATGAATTTTGTCTCTATATGACTATATATATATATATACATACACATATGTCCACACGAAATAAAAATACTGTTGAATGAAAAACGAGAAAAATAGTTTGGTCTAATTGAAGTGTTTACATCGCATGAGCAGCCATATAAACATAAGCATTTATTTCAATTATATTCATATAACAGCATTTTTTTTTTAGATACGGGACACATAATTATACATAGGCATGCAGAGAGACAAAATTCAGATATCCCATTTTTTCCCAGGGTGTTATCCGGCGTATCGAAGCCGTTTTTTATTCCGAAACGATTATATGGATTTTTCCAACGGCTCTTGTCGGTTATCCCGCGCGAAGATAGTCATGAGAACTTGGAGGAAGGGCGAATGACTCGAAAAGAAGGTCGACGGGGACCTCCTTTTGCGAAAAATATGGTCAATTCTTCGTGTTTCGGGTGAGAGATTAGTTCGAGCGTTTTTAACATTTCTCTGCCTTTTATTCTCTTTTTCTCTCTCTCTCTCTCTCTCTCTCTCTCTCTCTCTCTCTCTCTCTCTATTTATCTTGACTCTCACATACGAGGTTTCGTATCGCTCTCTTCTCGAGCCGAGCCATCGATGTAGCGCCGACGTGAGTCTTATCAGGTCGTGCTGGACGCAGCGAGTTATACGCGAGAGGTATTCGAGAAGTAGCTTTCGGCCCATTGAGATAACGTCACTGCGAGAATGCACCGATCTCGGCTTTCTTTTCAATAGCTCAATTCCTGAATTCTGTAGCATTCCGAATTTCAGGCACGATTTGGATCGAAGACTTGATACGTATACCTACTCTAATTTCTGAAGAGTCGAGGAAGTTTTGTATATTTTTTTTAAGATCGCGAGTACAAAAAACCAGGATGGAAAGAAGATATCGTAATGATTCAATGTGATCCGTGCGACGAAGAGTCAAATTAAAAGGATCAGTATCGCACGAATGATCCTTCTAATCAACAGATATCGCGACATTCCGCGTGTCTCTGTTGAAAAAAGAAACCATGCGAGAAACGAACAAAGAGACCATTCCCACGGGAATCCATATAGGAAATTCAAAATCCGTATATTGGAAATTTGAAATCCATACAGGAATCCACATGGGAATTCACATGGATTGTTACCCGAGACTTGGGTTTTTGGTTTTTTGGGGAGATCATGGGATTTTATATTAAATATGGTTCATTTTCTCAACTCACTTTTATTGATAAAAGCGTTTCTAAAAGCTTGGGAACCAACCTGATTGGCTCAGAAGCTACATTTAAAGCACTTTTATCGATAAAAAGTGAGAACACGGGCCTGTATGGATTTCCTACATGGATTCTCACCTGGTTTTCTTTTTTTCAGCAGGGGTACTATTGTCATCATAATGCAAGAAAATAAGGTGGTACCATTCTCGAGAATGTGCAGTCGTCTAATATAGCGGCTGCTCTCTTTGACTAATTAAAAACTTGCCCCAAATTGTAAAAAGCAACGTGGCTGCTAAGAGTAACGTGCATTTGGATTATCTTTTACTCCTTGCTAATTAAAGTAGGGTTAATTATTTATTATCATTTTATCTTATATTTTACCTTGTATATATTCTTATTAAATTACGAACTTTCGCATATTGTTCTTACAAGTTTTAATTTTGTTTGTATTTCTGTCATACGTTTTCACCAATACTGTATCTGAATTTCGCGCTGATTTTTGGAGCAAAAAATTAGTTCTTTTATTATTCTGCTATTATTATACACAATGGTACACCTTAGTCCATATTCTGAACTCTTTTTTTTATCGATAAAAGTGTCTATAAAAGTGGCTTAGAAACCACCTGATTGGCTGAGAGGTCACATTTGAGACACTTTGATCAATAAGAGAAGGTCCAGAATGTGGGTCCTTGTCTTCTTACATCGTGATTATCATCGAATACCACAACGACACGTATCATCTACTTTTATTAAGCTCGGAAGATCAACGTGCCTTCAGTTGAATTTCCGGAAACGACCACCCCCCGAAAGCCACCGCGTGTCGTGTCGCGCTTCTCGAGCGCCTCTCGTATTTTCTATACACACATATTTAGAAATACTCCGAAGAGAGGACCGTAGAGTCCTTAAAGTAAAGCAAAAGGAAAACGCAAAAGGCGAACGACACGGCTTATAGTTTCGAGCGCAAGAAGCGTTTCTCTTGTGTGATATAAAATTTGTACGCAGACACTCTTTATTGTTGAACATCGATCAAATGATACAGCGAACGGGAGAGACGAAGAAGACAGCCGTAGCTGCAGAAAATATCGCTAAAATATCGCGCGACTTAGCTCTTTGCACGCGCGTCGCACGCCCATCGCGCGATTGATCGCGCATCGTCGTAACTGACTTCGTTATTTTAATTCACATCAGATTAAAAGTAATTAAATTGTCCTTTCCGCGGGGAAATTCTTCACGGGGAGAGATCGAGCGTAGTTTGCATTACTCGAATTTTACGATTTCACCATTAATTTTGTCAGACAACGGAGGATTTCACGACTCGGGCGATTATCTCGGGACGGAAAGTGCGAGTCAATCGCGTCGGCCGAGGGCGACGAAGGAGTGCAAGGGGCTAAAATCGGAATTTCCTGTCGAGAATAATTTCGCACACTTTAGCCAGCCAGTGGACTGATCGACATTAAGCAATATATGCGAAGAAAGAAAAAGTTAACATAGATACGTATGTAATTGAAGGCATGAATATGGTAAAGCGCGTCAATTAACGCGATCGGTCGCTCGATCAAGTCGGAAGACTACCTTAGTCCCTTCAATGAGCAGATTATTTGTGAGATGTACCCAAAAATTGATTTCTATATTGTTTATAAATATTCCATGTACAAGCTGTACCAAGCTCGCTACTTCTTCCCCCGCCGACGCATCCTTTGCAGAGAGAGAGAGAGAGAGAGGGAGAGAGAGCAACTAAATTCTCCTCGACGGAGATTCGAAGAAAGTTTCCCACCTTCCCGATTTCTTTATCCTTCAACCGAAGTGAGTTGATCTCCTCTTCAGTCGCGGGATTTTCACTCGCCGAGAAGAAAAGCTTTCGAATTTCGGTTTCCGAATCGTCTCTGCGTAGACGGAAAAACAACGGCGAGATCTGTTTTTCGTTCTCGTTCCGGAGGTAAAACACACGAAGATGCGGTCAGCATTTGGTGCAGCTTGCGCATAAAGTTACAAATAATTGTCCCAGCATTATATATAGAAAGTAACTTAGAAGGGAAACACTTCCCGCGAGACACACGTTGTATATAAAACTTTCTTGATCCTGTAAAAAGAGAGTGTAACATGCTTTTTATACAGATATCATTCACCGAAGATCTTAGAAGAGGGTCCCGCTTTCATTGGTTTAACGAGATACTCTCGGGGACGGTGAGCGCGCGTGCTCGTCGTCCGATTTTTTCAAGTAAGACGTAGTCGAATTGAATAAACTCTATCTAAACATCAAACTAAAGTGACGATCGATTAATATAAATATATATACATATATACATATGCAGTAAATATATATATATCTCTCTCTCTATCACGCGAGAAATAGTTAATTTATACTCCGGATCGAGAATCCCGAGTGTAGTTTCGAAGACTCGGAAAAAAGATAAACTGGTTTTTTCTCCAATTTCTTCGCGGATTTCTTCTGCGATTTCCGTCCCAAGGGTAGAAAAATTCGTTTAGGAAAATTTACTTCGTGTGTTCGGTTAAAATCTGCTTCATTTACAGGGTGTCTACTACCTGGAAAAGCCTGGAATTTTCCGGGGATTTGTTTATGTCTGAAAAAATCAGGAAATTCTCGGAAAATTTTATTGTAAACCAGAGAATTTTAAATAGACATTTGTCTGCGTATTATCACGTCCTTCGTATAGACAATGTTGTGTGGTTGATTGAATTTTATTTAATAATATTTTCTTCATTAAAAATCAGAAAAAAATACTTCAGAATTTTTCGACTTGATTATTAATTAATTTTAATTTTAATTAGTAAGAAATGGCGCTATATGAGTCGCGTAGGTGCGAACTTATTAATATTCTGCATGTATATACATTTAAGGTTGTTTTTAAGTTTCTATTTAATATTTAAATATTAACAATTTTTTTATGTTTATAATAGATTCTTTTTTGTTCTGTATCTACGTGTATAATTTAAATGCTTAATTATATCGCTGTAATGTTTAGAGCACACTGATTTTACGATTAACACGATATTCAGTATTGAAGACAACGATTTCGTGTTAGGTGCAATTTTATTTAATTAAGACGTATTTATTTTAATAGATTTATAAAAGTTGCATTTTGTACCGGCTATGCATTACATAATTTTTTGTTAGTAATTTCTGAAAATAAAATTTGAAAATGTTACGCAATATATAGTATTTATTTTTTAGAATCCTTACAGTTTCTTTCAAAATTTTTCGAATTTAATCGTTGAAATTCGAGTGACAATTTTATTTTATGATTTGTAAACTTTTACGAATGGAAAATATTAAGGACTTTGAACAATGAAGCTACATTCATTTGCAAGATACATTTAAAAGTACTTTAATTTTGTCTGGAATTTTTAACACATTGCCTGGCAGATCAGGGAATGTTTTTCGAATAGAAACCCTGATGTTTTACTTTGTTCCGCAAAGAAGATAAAAAATTTAAAAAATTCGCGGAAAAATGGGAGAAATAATCGGGTTTTTTCCGAGTTTTCAAAACTATAATCCCGAGGATCCTCGCGACAGCATTTCCGCGAAATTTACGTTAAAGATTACGTTACTTAGAATAAAGGAGCCGCGCGCGTTTCCGTTTATTTATTTTCACACGCACGATTTTGTTGTTCCGAACATGTATCTTTTCTAGCGCCCGCACGAAGCAACTATACGACCGCGAATTGAGTTTTATCGTGCGTAGTTAGCGCCAAAATATCAACATTCGATCGATCCCCTGTGATGGAAATTAGCAGGGGACGTTTTGATTTCCACTCTGACGTGCCGCTTTGTACGCAATTAGCGTAATAATTTCGCAAATGCGTCACGAATTACTGTTGTCACGGCTTCGCGTAATTTCATCGTCGTCATTTATTATTTACTTATCGTTTAGCGAGTTATTATTATAATCGATAGCCCCCTCTCGGCCGTGCGCGCAAGAAAGTCGTTATTTTTATCCTTGATGTGCGTGTGTGCGAGCGCGCGGAAGAGGGAAGGGAGCGTCGCGCGCCGAGGATTCGAAAGCTTCTGTTTATAAAACAATGCCAGTCCGCGTCATCACGTCCTCGCGAGAGAATAGGCGGACCACGAGGATTTGTTGGGAATTCACTCTGCGCGCGCAAGATTGAATTTCTCTGCATCCCAAATCGGGATACACACACGCACGCACGCGAACGCGTAATCCGCTTTCCTCGCTTTGTTGCTCCTGCGTCTACTCGCGAATCAACGCTGTTTTATATCACGAGGAGAATATCAAGTGGAGAGACAATTCGTTTGATAATTTATTTCGTGCCTGGATACGAGTTGGAAAATAAAAAAAGAAATGCCCAGGTGGAACGAATTAAAAACAAATTTCTTAAAGATGTCCGAAAGATATCGAAAAAAAAAATTAGAACGCCTCTTAGATGTCTTTAAGACGTCTCTTAGACATTCGTTCTGCCTGGGTGGATGTGAAAATTACCATCGAATTTCCTGATCTCAGGATCGAACGCCCTTGTTCCGTGCGCACGTTCGGGGACTCGCGGAATTTCACGCAGAAAAGAATTCCCGCCGATTCTCCTCCCGATCGCGGCTATTCTTCGCAGGGGTTGCACTAGACACACACGTACTCCTACTCTAGCGTATCTCGATGAAGTTTTATTCCGATATATATATACGTATAATACACGTCGAAAAAAAAAAAAGAGAAAAAAAGGAAAATTGCCTGTCCATAGTGTTTATCGAGTGGCCGTTTGTATCTCGACGTATCAGGACCGCCGGCGGAATCTTTCCGCGGAAGGGTAACTTTGTAAAAAAAAACAAAGGGAAACAAAAGACAGACGACACATGAGATCTAGATCGAACCTAGGGCTTTTCTCGTTGATACTTTCAAGCTTATGTAGAACTGTTTCTTAGGGTTTTCAACAAATTTCTTAAGAATAGAATAAAAATCCGAAAGAATTTCGTACGACAAGTTCGTTTAAGCTGTATCATTTTTGACTCTCCGTATATATATTATCCCGTTTCCAACTCTGATCCTTCGGCGTTCGCGACCCGCACTCGTCCCCGCGCATTCGAAGAGTCTCGGCGGCGAAAAAGCGAGGGAGACCGAGAAAGAGAGCGAAATTTTAGGGGGGGCGAAGGAAAATTGAGGGATTTATCTTTGTTGGTCTTGTAACTTCGGTTTAATCGTGACACATAATTGGGTAGGTTTATACACTGCTGGCGTTCTCAACGAAACTCATACACTTCCACTTAGTTTATATTCTTCGGTGGAAGATACTATACTGTAATAACAGACCTCGTTAGGAATACATGCTACCCTTATACAAATACGATTTTTCTCAAAGAATTTCTCTGAAAAGTTTGCTCGCCTCTAGATTATGGATTCCGACAGCTCGAAATGTTGCGACTTGTTTTGACGTAAGTATGAATCGGCTGGCTCAACCGAGGATCGGCTCTGATCCTCGAAAGATCTTGAAAAAATTTCTCTAGACGCGAGATCAGGACTTCACGATTTATACCTTGAATCGAGAAACAGAACTATCACCGAAATTATTCCCAAACAGCCGTGAGGAGAGAAAAAAAACATTCACCGCTTACGCTAATGTTACAAGTTGTTAGTATGTTATGCTCCGACGACTGCGTCAACGAAAATCAATTTAATTATGCTTCACACATCGATGCTGTTCACGCACGATGCAGAGAGAGAGAGAGAGAGAGAGAAAGAGGGAAAGAGAGAGAGAAACATTCGACACGAATGTTGATTCTTTATGCATTTTCTTCCGCGTTCGGTCTGATTGGCAGCAAATATTGAAAAATTTCAAAGGTAGAAAAATGTAAGATGCGCGAAGGAGAATGTAAGATAACGCTGCGTCGACGAGGAAACGTTTGAAACGTCTCTCTCTCGTCGACTTCTATAAGCCCCCGTCACATGTAAAACAGCTCAAAAAGATATTCCTTCTTGCGCAGCTTTGCTGCAACTTGAGGATTGAAACGAGAGAGCCTGAGAATATATCTTTATACAAAGTGAAGTTATAGAACTTGCAAACTTCCTTCGAACAGCTATCGGAAAGATGGGGTTTACCTCTCCCCCCGATATTTTTTATATATTGTATATACATCTCTACACACTCTGTGACACATTTTGAAATAATCTTCCTTACGTCCAGCGAAGTTTGAAGAAAAAAAAGAACAAATTCCCGGGAAATCTTAAACTAACAGCGCACATTGAAGAATCCTTATTTGCCCTACACATCCTACACATTTATATCCTACAACACATTTTAAACCCATGGTAGAATCAGAAAAACTAGTTCTAAACGGCCCGACAATGAGTCTCTTCTTTTTCGCTGAACCGACTGCACCAGATTGTACTGGTTATTCCCTCCTTTTTTTCCACCAAGTCTTAACTATATATCTGTCTCTTTTTAAGTTCTATAAGTATACATTAGTTCAGCAGAGAACAGACCCGTTCCACTGAAAACGTAGCTTTTACACGTCTACTTTTATCCTACACATTTTTTTACGCGCTTCTCGCGAAGATAGATCTAACGAATATCTAAATCTAATTAAACTAATTAAATCAAAATCTAATTCGCTGCTTGTAACATTTCTTCCGCGTTTTGCCTTATGCTACAGTAGTACAGTACGTGCAAGCGCACGCGCGTATCCATAGATCTACTTATAATTTATATCGTACAAAAACATTCGAGAACATATTTATATATCATGATACAGCAAACTCTGGTACGATACCTTGAAAATAAATCCTACGAAATGTTTAACTGCCTCACCCTTGATTCAGCACGTACAGTTGCAAGTGGGTTGTAAGTGGGAGTGTAAAACTTACACATTATGACAGATGATTCGCGCACGGATGACCGATGACGACGTGACGCTTGCGAGTGTTGACGCCTCGCGATAAAATTAATACACATTTTATCACTATTTCCGCTCACAAATTCTAATTCTATTTGCCCACTTTTTCTTTTAATTTTATTCGCAAAAAAGAAAGAGGTAACCAAAAATCCACTATTGAATATTAAATCATTTTGTACCGTCTGATCAATTGTAAAGTGATACTGTTCGTATAAATCGATTAAAGAATTCAATACAATTTCGTACGACTTACATTCAAGTTGTCAATTAAGTTTTAATTAAAAGAGAATGGGTTAAAATCTTTCGAGACTTCTCTTCATTTGACTTTCTCATTACTCTAAATTGACGGTAAAAGGATGCACGATGGAATACGCAATTCCATCGGGACATTTCATTTCAGTCCAATTCCATTACAGTCGCGTTCAGCAGATCCAACGATTACACGAGATGTTGGAGTTGTTGGAGCAGCGCAACTGAATTTGGCGTGAGTATAACATACCATAGTATTATATAATCAAATCAAATTCAGCCAATACGAGAAAATAAATATTCGGTGCACCTGCTGAACGCGATTATCGATCTAAGTCAGTGGTTCCCAAATTTGTCCAATTGATTGACTCTTCTTTAATAAATTTATTCTCCATTTCATATGTAAAAATTTGTTAAAGAAATATACATTTCATTGTATATGTATAATTCTCACATATATGTATATATTCTTAAAAAGAAGTGAGGAAACAAACATTCGCGTATGCGAGAAAGCCTGGCAAATTTGGGAACCAATGATCTAGAGTATTCATCGCACTTACACCTAAGCTTATCGATAGTTTTACACAAGCTCACTGAAAAAGAAGAGATCAAACCGTAAACGGAGAATATTAATGTTTTCGTCTAATATCATGTTTTCTATTTCTGAACTAGGTTACACTTTTCATCGTTAGAACGAGATAAATGGATATAACTTAACATTGAGGGGAAAAGAAACGAAGTTCCAGTGGGATCCTAGTTCGGCAACAGAAAACAGACCAGACGGATGAAACTAGAACAGGCGTGGCCAACTTCGGCTTCGGAGCCGCGACGCTTCTGCTCTCAGTCCTCTCGCGAAGAGAGATGGAGCGAGATGGAGGAATGGAGGGATGAGACAGACGCTGAGGCATCCTATAGGGAACATCGGCGTTTGAATAAGAAAGTGCTCCGTTGGATGAAGTTGGCCACGCCTGAAGTAGAAGCTAGCTTGTAAAAACCTACGGCTTAATATAAATAATATATTGTTAATACTAAAAATGTAATTTGTAGCTATCCTCCCTTTGCCCTCTCCCCCCACCCTCTCTTTCTCTCTCTTTCTCTCCCTACCAATCGGCAAAACAATAAGAATAACAAAATCCGTGATCGTTCCACGTTAACGCGCCCGGACTGTCGCGTTTTCCTCGAAAAAGTCAGAGTAAATAAATAAAAAGTATAAAAAGAGAAATGCGTGTGTTGCGAGATGTCTCTGTTTGCCGTGTGGGGTCGCGGATAATACCATCGAATCAATCAGTATCGTCTCTTTCTTCATGTGGACAAATATAGTCGGTGGTAGTCGTTCGCGCCGAAGGCGCAGTTGCACTTGGGGCATTTCCGTTGCCGCGTTTCGTAACGCGTACGCAGACAGTCCCAGCAAAACACGTGGAAGCACTTAGTGAGAACGGCGTCTTTACGTTTCACTTTGCAGGACGGGCAGGTGAGCGTCTCCTTGTATTCACGCAGCTCCTCCGCCATCACCTCGTCCAAGGTCTCGGCGAGTTCGATCTTCTTCATACGCTCGACCTTGCGCCGGAGTTGCGCTATCTCCTCCTGCAAGCACATTTGCTTGATTAAATAAATCGGCATGGTGGGTGGTCACGTGTATGTATGATTTATGAACGAGGAAACGAAGCAACAATTTTGAGGAAATGAAAATCTGGGGGTAATAAGAGGAGAGAAAAAAATTAAGTATTTTCAGTTTGCTGCAGTTTTTCAGTTCTTGTTACTTGTACCAATCACCTTACACTTCATCTTATCTTTACTAATACTTTCATCTCTTATCTATCTTATTCTACCAATCACATATATTTGTCTTCTTTTTTTTTCATCTTAACTTTCAGAACTATTGTACAATGTAACAATGTAAATTCTAGGAAATAGGAATGTACCTGCAATCTTTTAGTCTTATATGCTTCAGCTTCCAAGGAGCTTGTCTTCTCAGCCACCACCTGTTGCGCTTCTTTCATTTGGGAATGATACTTTTCTATAACGAGAATTGCGTTAGTCTCTCGCTGACAACAATCTGTATAAATTACATGTGTCTAGCTGTTGTATCTTTAGAAAGTTGTAAGATGAAGTGAGTTGAGAATTTGATGACGAGTCGAGAATATTAATATTAATATTTCCGCAAAATATTTATATTCTTTCCAACGTTACTCATCTTTTCGAATAATTGCAGATTTTTTGTAAGGATTTCTCACAACAAATATTACGAAAGAACTTTATTTCTCTGTTAAAGACACGCTTGGCGCTTTTTCCCACATATGTATAGGAACATAATTTGGTTTGACGAATGCTAAATTTACGGGTGGTCCCTTTTGGCTGAAATGCGATGAAAACACGACAACAAATCTTACAACCTCCCTAACGAATAACAAGCCTCACCAAGATGGAGCTTAAGATCGGCGGCCGATTGCGCGCTCTCTATCGCTTTTCGTTTGTGCATCTCCATCGCTTGCTGTCGCAGAGCCAGCTCCTTCTCGACCGTCGCGAGAGAATTCTGCAGCAGACGTTCCTTCTCCTCCAGCTTTCGCACGACCACATTGGCCGCCTCCACCTGCGTGGTCAACGTGGAGACCTGCTCCTTCAGCACGTCCTTCTCCTCGCGCGCTAGCTTGTGCAGCTGATTGCTCTTGATCCTTTCCGTCATCAGCTTGAAATTCGCGTCGTCCTTCTCGCGCAGCTGCTGTATCAGCCGCGAGTTCTGCTCCTGCATATCCTCGAACGCCTGTCCCGTCACCTCCATCTCGTTCAGAAGCGCTTCCTCCTCCTGCAGCCACACACAATTCTGTTCAGTGTTACACCACCGTTCGCGTGCACTACAAAGACCAAATAAAGTCGTCTGCTTCCTGGTGACCAAAAACTTCCACACAATATTACGAAGAACAACGCGAGATGCCGATCATCGCTTGTCGCCTGTGTATACGACAGCTACGGCAAACGCTGGGAATTCTATGAGATGCGATCTACCTGTTTCTGACAAGCCACTTGACGTTGCAGCGTGTACGCCTGATCCTCCAACTTTTTAATTTTTATCTGCGCGTCCTCGTCGGCCAATTTCTTACGCTCCTCCCGTTTACTCTCCTGTGAATAAGGATACGGTATCATTCGCCATGTTATATCACGTTGTATCGCTGTGGTAACGATCACATGTAACACGCGTCGCGCATGCGTGACGATGTATACGAGGGGAAAGGATCGTGACGTACTTGAATCTTCTTGATCTGCTGCCGTAAGTCCTCCAACTCCGCTCTCGTCTTACGTTCCGCGGCCATCAACTGCACTTTGTCGCGTTGCTCTTTCCCGACACCTTTGTACATGTCCAAAAGAAGTTTCATCTCTTTCATTTCGTTCATAGCCTTCCTGCAATCAGATCAGCTTATCGTCATTCTCGTCTTCTAAAATTGGCCATAGTTACGCAAAGAAGGATCCAACCCGCAAAATTACGATTTTTGAGATTTTGTCACCAATAAGCGTAGTCTATCTGAATAGGCCTGAAACATATCTGGATTTTGTTGATCCTCATTAAGAAAGTTTATAGTAGTAAATGTTACAACACATTTTATTTCCGTTCGATGGTACCGGACGACCCATGCTCGAACTTTTAACGGGCCTTCTTTTCTTCTGAACAAATTGATTTGAATATAAAAGAGCCTTGTAACTTTCATACATTCATGTCAGTCTTGAAAATGCTTGATATCTCTCTCAACGTACTTCAGTTGTGCCTTCAAATCCCTCACGAGCTCCGACTCCGCCATTTTTGCGTCTTTGGTGCGATGCGCCGGATCGCGATGCTCGGTTTTTACCGACTCCTTCTTGATGTCTTTCTCGCGTTTGATGTCCTTCTCCTTCTTTATGGTGGGCGAAGTTAACGTTAGAGAATCGGAAGTCCCTTTGCTGCCCTCACCCTCTCCCACCTCGATAGTTTCCACCTCCTCGTCAACAACTTCCCTCTTTATGGCGACACCGCTCTCTTCCTTTATCTGTTTGCCAAACGTTAAAAGCGGAGGAGAAACAGCATGAGTAATAATCGGCAGAGAAAATCTCTCGCTCGTTATAGTTTATACAATTCTTTATACATTGTGTTACCTGCGTAGAACCCGGCAAGGAGTTCGAAGTATCCTCCTCTTTCCCACTGCCGTCCGAATTGTTCCCTTCTTTGTTTTCCTGAGACGTTTGCTGGCCTAATTTCGCCGTCAATTCCTCCACTTCCTTTTTCAGCTATAACATTCAACGTGATAAACGCCGAGGACATTGTGGAACAGTGTAATTTAAACCTACAAATTGAGACAATTTAGTAAGTACCCGTGGTATCTCGGTGGAGGCTTCCTTGTACTTTCGCTTGTAACGAATCACCTCTCCTTTCAACTGCTGATTGTGATTCTGCAGGGAGGTGATAAGATGTCGCATCTCGCGATTGATCGGGCCCGTTTGCTCGTTAGCCGCCAAATTTTGCTCAAACTCGATGCGCAACATCTCGTATTCCTTGCGCAACTGCGCTAACACGTCCTCCAGCTGTATGCATTCGCCGCGCAGTTTTTTCTGCGCCAATAACTCTTCGCTCTGTGCGAGTGAGAACGAGATTTCATATGAGATAAGAATGGGAAAATTCGAATCTACCAATTTTAAGTTACACGCGTGAATCTCCTTTTACATACGAAGGACTCTCACCTCCATCATCTCGATGTGACGTAAATGAATATTCTTACTCGACTGCAACTGTTGACGAGCGTCATCTAATTGCGTCTTCAATTGCATAGACTCGTTGTACAATACGGAGAACTGCGATTGTAGACACTTGTACTCGGTAGTTTCCACTATCACTGACTCGGGCAGTTGTCTTATCTATGACGATAAATTCATTAGAGCTCTTTATTTAGCCATAGTTGTGCGAGAAAGATCCACATGGAGTACGTTTGAAGAAAAATGAAGATGAATATTTGATACATAATTTAGAAAGTATAAATAGCACTAAAGTTCTTCACAATCGTTCAAGAAGTCAAGCACGAACCATTTTCTTTTCTCTATGAATATTCATGAACAAGCCTAAAAAGTAAAATCTTTTAAAAAATGGGTAAAAAAGACGCAAATAGTAAAGAACAGTACGGCTGGTGGAAAATAAAAATTGTTTCTTTAATTAATCTCAGGCATCCAGGTAAAGGTTTGAATTTTTTTTTGCTTTATGGAGAAAGATATATAGACCAACCATTGATAACAAAATCTCGAAAATTATAATTTTGCGAGTTAAATAATTTTTACATAATTGTAGCTATTTATTCCACGCTTCATCGTGGCATAATTAAGACTGCGGAACGATCATAATGCACTCACATCCATTTTCAGTTTCTCCACCTCCTTCAAAGTGTCACGATGCTGTTGGTGCAACTTGTCCAATTCCTGTAATCTATTATTAGCCAATTCCCGCGTCTCTTCCAGCTCTCGTTGCAAATCATCAAGCTAATACAAATAAAAAAAAAAAAAAAAAGGGAGAAAGAGAGAAAGATAATGAGATATTACAAATAAAGATGATTACAAATAAAGATTACTATCATTTCATTTTCAAAATCAAATCAAATTTTCGAAATGAAACTTCTCACCTTGGTCTGTGAAACACTGGACGCAACCAAAGTGCTAGGTTTGTTGCTGCCTTTCTCGTCCGTGCCGTGAATTTGCTGGAAGGCCTTCAACTTTTCAATTGCTTCTCCGAGATGGTGTTCCAACTTATCATTCCTTGCTCGCACTTTGTTCAATTCGTATTGCAGATCGTCCACCTGATTTCGCAATTCTGCCGCGAGCGTATCCTTTCCCGTTATAGTGTCCTGCAGTTCTGACATCTGCAAAGATACAGATTAAGGTTGTACTACACCTGTTGTACCTTTTGTTCTGGAAATTCCCGTAAAAGAAACTTTAAGCATTTCTAATTATTATACACCTAATTTCTTAACGATACAATATGCTATATATATCAACATACAATATCAAAATATTTGATGGGAAATATGAGAAAAAGATAATGTTTTACTCGTCTCAGAGGCTAAATGTTCTTTCTGAGCTTTATATCAAGATTTTCCTGCATTATTTTTCTAAATTACCATATTACCAGCTTTCCAAAATTATCGGGCAATTTACTGAGTAAGTTGTATCATGTTCATCTCTAATCTAAAGACATAAAAAGTCGTTATATCGCATTACTTTCAGTGAAATGGTGTGGTACTTCTCGTGCAGTTGTAAGTTTATCGCCTGTAGATTTCTATTTTCCGCTTGTATCTCCGAATTGGCACGGCGCACGACCTCGTCGATGTTCGGCGCCTCGTCTGCACAGACAAATGACAAGTTGAAAATCACACATCAGAATGAATAATTCCGCATGCACGACCGAACGACAATTATATTTACCCCCGTCAAACTCCCCTTTGAGAGCAAGGGTGATCTTTTCATTTCTTTGAGACAAACGATCAAATGCCTGTACAACTTTAGACACTGCTCGCTTAGATACCTGTACTCGATTTGCCAATTTGTCATCCAACTCCTCTTTGTCCCAGGAGGATAATTGCATGAGAAATGACGTCGTGGCCTCGCTCTCGTCTGCAACAAGAGGATGTAACTTGGAAAATTGTCACACATCAAATCACTGCTTCATGTCGCTTCTTCGTGGCGTCTTCTTTACTTTTATTTTCCGACTCATCTGCGGTTTCGGCATCGAATCTCTGGAGTAAAACGCGTATATCTTCATTCAGCTGATTCCAATATCGATTAACTACATTAAGTACCGCATCATCCTGCATTTGACGTTTCTCCAATTGTTCAATACGTTGTCTCAACTCAGCTTCCATCCTGTGTCTTTGTTCCAGTCGCTGAAACCAACAAAGATTTATACTAGATACAATGCTTACAAATTAAATCACATATTAATACTAATTTACAATACAGTTTGGATGCAGCTAAGTTCAGAACACAGTCGATAGTCTATTAATGAGAGAACTTATATTTGACTAGATTGTTCTCTAGGCGAGTCCAAATCATTTTGATCTTTGCTGTGTACATGTATATATTGCATATGGTTGCACAAATACAAAATATCCAAACCTGTGCCAGTTTCTTGTTCTGAAATTGCAACACCTTCATGTCCATCTCCTCTAAAGTAGATATAGGTCCGATTAAAATCGGCTCAAACTGTACTTTCTTGATGGGTGGTTGGGAACTGGTGTCCCCGTTGTCTGCTGATCTCTTCATCATCTTTAGATGTGATTATGCCTTTCCTGCAAAACATATCAGTATCTGTTTATGCTGTTTACAATACAGAAACATCAGAAGCTATATAAATATCCAAAAGACTTGACATGAATACCACAAAAGAGATAGAAAGTACACATTGACTTATGTTAGGTTAACAGTGTTCAATTTATTGACTACCAAGTAGGTCTCTACAAACGAGAAGTAATCATAATTTTACGCAACTATTCGATGACAATGATCTAAGACGTCACTTTGAATTTTCTATTCATTTTATGCCAAGGCAAATGCAAGTTACATCGAGTCACAGGAGCAAATTGTGTGGAACTTCTGTCGGTTATCCCGGAGGCTGACCGAACACAGGTGAACGACAAGTTAACGACCTTCCGGCAGTCTACAGAACATGTTGCTGCAAATGGTTATGAGATGCCCGAGCTTCCTTCTGACCGTCAATTTCCACTGATCGAGCGATGCCCGAGGGAAAATCAGAGAGTCTAGGACATCTGATGCCGAACCATTTTCATCATGGCCGTGCGCGCGGGTACGAACATACCTTAGATATAAGCTTGACTAAGCACGCCCAAGGTCTCACTGCCACGTTCCGTAATCAATAAGTTTCTCGCATTTACCGCCGCTACATCATTTTCCGATAGACCAGGTCTTCCAGGCCAGGCTTCTCGCAGCAAATGCCTGCATCTTAGCTTAACGAGAGCTCCTACGGATCCGCCTCATAAAATAAGGTGCCCTACAGAAGAGGTGACGTTTATAGGAGGGTGGCGCCATATCGATGTTCTTTGCGTAAAGAATCATCGATTGTCTCTCCGACTCTTCCCGTTTTAATCGATCTTTGCGTCGACCATCTTTCGATTCGATAACACTAGGATGAACTGTCATGGGTGTGTTCCACTATACGCTCGCAACGACCAAATCACTCGCTGGGGTGCGTTCAGAAATGTTACACGGGTACACTCGCTGTTGAAGAGAGATACTAGAGATGAAAAAGAGTGAGAGAGAGAGCGTCATGATGACGTTTTTCTTTTTAACATTCGTAAAGCCTATATCACAGATTATGGATTGGAGATTGGGTTGAATTAAAAATTGACCAATCAGTGCAAAATTCGCTAAATTTCAATTCCCAATCCGTAGTCTGATACGGGCTTAAGTCCCGGTCTACAATTGATGTTTTAAGCATTAAGAAATTGACCAATCACAGTTAATTATTCTCTTCACATTCGACTGTGATTAGTCAATTTTTTAAGGCTTAAAACATCTATTGTGAACATGGAACGAACGCGTAAATAGCGCTGATAGCATCTCCCTTGAAAACACTCATAGTTCAAGGTGGTGAACACGGAAGTGCAGCCAGTTCAACTATAAAGAACAAACCTTTGTTTACATCACACCGTGTTTGATTCGTTACGTCTCGACATGTGCAGATATTAAAAATTTAATTTCGAAATAATTTGACGAAATAATTTCGAAAAAATTGTGACTGTTGTTTAGCTAGAATATAGCGTAACTAATTTCATAAGATCAGTCAAAATACAAATCTGCAGAAATGAATACAGAAAGAATAACCTTGTCAAAGAATATATTGCAAATGAAGGTAAGTCTAAAAATTTACGACATAATGACCCATATTCTCCATTCACTTTTATCGATAAAAGCATCTTAAATATATAGCTTATCTTTATAAATATAGCTTCTCAATCCATCACGTGATTTTTAAAGCACTTTTATCAATGAAAGCGAGTTAAAAATATACAGTTCGTTAATAAAAGAATAACATTGCTTTGCAACTGATGCTATGTTATTTCTAGTTTATGAAGCGAACAAAGGAAAAAGTCGAGAAACAACAGTTTCAAGAAGAAGGAGAATTATATTTTGGAAGCAGAGTTATGACACGTATGAAGAAACAATCGTAAGTACTTTCTATAAGTGTTTCTGAATTTCAGCACAGATTTCAATTGATGCATTTACCAACTCCCTTTATTTTTTCTAAGATAACTAAGGTATATTCAGATTTACAATAATACAAATCATTCGATTTCCATAATGCCAATATATAGAAACATACAACTGATCATTGGCTTTTCTAAAATCAATTTAAATTATTCGTTAACAGTTGCTTTTCTTTTATCTCTCAGGGAGAGATTCATCGTGGAACCGAGTTATGCTTTTTGCGAGGGACTCGTCAGTGGTAGGATGAGCTTTCAAGGAATGAATCCAGTGATTGAGAAGTACATGGAGTCAATACAGCAAAAGGAGAAATTACAGGAAGAAGAAAGCCAACCAACAGACGTATCAGACGAACAAATGGCTGTTCAGTGGCAGAGAATAAAAGGAAAGTTCAACGCTATGCCCAAGCGTAAAAATTTATATTACAATGAAGATGAAAAAAACGGGCCAGTAGCGAAGAAGACAAAATTTTTAAAACCGGTAGATTGATAAATTGTAAATAATACTATAATACTATACTACTACATAGTAGTTAGTAGTTAGTTGCTAATGTATATATAGTTTAACACTCTGGGGAGACCAAAGACACGAATTCTCTGTATAACCGGATGCTTGCAGGCTTGTCAGTCTTCAAAGTGTTAAACATACTCGATGAATATTGATGTATTTGACATAATAATAAGTTAACTAAGATAATACGATTATGATGTAACTGTTCGAAGAAGGTCGGATAATTATTATCTGAAATATTGTTTATTTATCACATCTGAAATACACGTTTTGTATATATTTCACTCCGACCACTAATGTCTCTCGAAGGAGAAACTTGCGAATAAAATTGCCCGTGTTTTCTATTCACACGTTTCTTCCTTCGCTGCACAACAGCCCGACACAACAAGCAGCTGCCGAAATGTTTCCACGCACACACCGCCTGTGCGATCCTTCAACAGTGCTTCCTGCCAAAGCGAGTCGAAGCTGTTCTTCGGGAATTTGAAACCGACATCTTCGAATATACTCCGAATTTCTTCTTTATTACGAGCCTACAAGGCGCATTTCTTAATGAGAAGAATGTTTTAATTGTAACCACGCCTAGTTAAGAATCATATATATATAACAACAACCTGGTCAATTAATGTGAAAATATTCGAGCTATCGTACGATAATGTAACATGATACGTGATACATGTAACATGATATGTAATTTGAATATGTTACAGGATTACCATAAAAAGATCTGTACGCGTTAAGCCGTGTTTTGTAAAAATGTCGGGCGGTATCGAGCAATGAATGGCAGTTTGATCGTCTAAATCCTTTTTCGAAGATACATCAGCACGTATTAGCATCATGCTCGGTCTATTCGACCTCGCAGATGGAAGCCCAGCCGCGTGAACCTCTATAATGTTTTATAAAGTTCGTTACTTTCATGTCACGGTAGGAATATCAAGATACTATTAAGGGGGAAAATGTTCAATGTTTGAATTTTTCTACTAATGTAATATATAATGTAATATATAAATAAAAATATGAAGAATCATCCTTCAAAAGGACATTTTCATAAAATCAATAATGTGGTCAGCGGAAAGATTCAAACATTGGACGTTTTCCGCCGCTCGAATTTATGCGGCCTCTTGAGATACAAGAATATTCACGAGCCTTACGAGTGTCATCAAACGTCGAGATGTTTCCTATGCTGTCGCCATATGTTGTTACGTAATCTGAACTTGCCGATGACGCTTCTGGAAAATATTTTTTAATAATATTATCCCGTTGTACAACAAAGAAAACGGAATAATCCGGAGCGTATTAAGAGCTTCTGTGTCCTTACTTTGTTCTTGTTCGATAACGTTAGATTAACATAAAATTAACGTAACAGAAATCATGAGAAAATGAGTTAAAAACGTAAGTTGTATGTTGCACTAATTTACGACTACTTATTGATTGTTCGGGTTAAAGGAAAGCATCCGGAACATTTTTACAAGTGTGCTGAATCTATCACGAGGTGCTATTTTGTATACATATTTTCTTATTTCCACATATACCGTAATATATTTTGGCATGTTATTTCTCGCTTCTGCGTCATCAGACAAGAACAGCCGCAGAAATGAAGACGCAGAAGGCTTAAAGATTTGTCGAAACTACCGCTAATTTATGTAAAAGGATTCCTTCAGAATCTCACCGAAGAACTGATCTTACAGACGTCGATTTTAACGATCGTAAAATTAGTCACTTTGAAAAGAAAAAAAAAAACTTTAATACCTCCATAAAAATTGACTCAATTCTCTTACGTTGCATTTTGGGCAAGACCGGCATACTGCGCCTCCAATTCAAGAGATCGAGCAATCCTCTATAGTCGATATTTCCGTTTTTGCGTAACTGCAACGCGTCTATTAACGGTGCGAGAAATTCCTCGTTCGGACACACGCGATGTCCTTTGAAAATCGCGAAGACTCTATCCTCGGATAAAACCCCGAGGCACTCCTGGAACAGTTCGATAACGACGTTGGGACAATCGGAGTTCCCGATCGGCGTGTATCTCGCGAAGAAATTAATTGTAAATTAATGCACTCGACGTGACGCTGCGCAACAAACGTAAAAAGCACAATAATTGACAACTCGTGTGTATATGTATTTAATCACGTGATGATAAATCGATATCGCGTCCACCTTGTCCGAAGAAGACAAGTCATCCTCGATCCTCCCGAACGGCAGCTCGCGTTTCTTCAGTGTCCGACGGAAATTATTCAGATCTCGCAGATATCGCCACCACAGTAGGGTCTCCTGATTCAGGTCGGAGTCACGCAGAGCGTCCGACGCGTCGAACTCGTCTCTGACAGTCTTTTTACCGTGCACGACGTCTGCGTGAAAGCGCGACCTTTCCGGGTTCCTTAAAGGATCATCAAACAGCGCGAAAAAATCCCTCGGTTTTTTCACATCGATCGAGACGCGATCGATGAGACTCGCGAAAAACCTAAAGCGTGTTTCTTATTCACTATAATCCATCAGTACAAGCGCGAGACTAGTCCTTCGTGTCGAAGATGAGATTTTTGTCATTCGACGTGTCGCACCGTCGTAAGTTGCATCGTCATTGTAAGCCACACCGCCGCTACATCGCGAGATTCATGATCGTTCTGGCTCGAGAGTGCTACCTGGTACGTCCGACGGATGATCTCGTGCGCTTTACGAAGTCCGCTTGCGAACGATCAACCAACGTAACTGGCTCGCGATTGATCCACGTCAAGATTCTCTTGGCTCGCGACTCCGACGCGTGACACTTCCGGGGCTTGCCGAATCGTTGAGATTTGTCGAAGGGCTTCTTGTAACTGCGACGTGACAAGTGCCGATTACAGATCAAGCGACTCGATCGCACTCGAATCCGCTCCAATTCAATGACAGCCGATACGGTTTTCGTTTGCCGTTATATTTTCCGCTGATCATATACTTTTATTTACGGGAAAAAGCACACCCTCCCCTCATTGTGTTATATGTATATACATAAGAAGAAATCCAATGCCTATAAGAATATAAAAGAAAAGTATCCAACTGACGATTAAAAAAAATTATAAATTAATAATAATAATTATTATCTTTACTTAAAAAAGAGGTCTTCTAACATACAATACACAATAATACCTCGTAGATGTACAAAATAATTAATAATAGAGTACAATAATATGGATAACAGAATAAAAAATATAGGCGAAAACAAACGATAAATTAATAAATATAAGCAATACGTAAAAAGAGAGAAAAAATAATATAAATTAATTAGAGTAGATCAAGTTAAAGATGGCAGCAAGTGAATTTTTTAAATTTGAAGATATTCCATCGAAAAAAAATCCACTTTAGATGAATACTCATTGGCTAACACACATAGCCTATTAATATAACGAAATTTTGCACAGAAATTTAGCATATTTTATAGACATTTTATATTATTTACTCTCTCGTAATTTGTTCCGCTGGATCATAACGATTATGTGACTTTCGGTACAAAGAACGCGCTATGTCTTCTTGCATCGCCGTGTCACCCTCAATTTCAGATAGAATCTGTTCCATCGTTCTCTCTACAAAAGTCCAGAAAAAAACGATCATAATTCGAATATCCCGAATTACGACGGGAAAGTGCGTACATTTCGAATTTGTTCCTCGAGAAAATTAACTACGAGACGTCGTCACGATGTAACTTGAAGAATTACTATGAGTTATGAACTTTATCATCAACCTATCCGCACACTACTGAGAACAAGAATCGAGAACGCTTTTGGGACATCCTACATATAAATTTTAGAATTACTAACCATTTTATTTTGAAAAAAAATGCAACGGTGCAAAGTTCCTAACTTATAGTTCCTAACTTATAGTAACAACTTATAGAAATATATATGCACATATTTAAACATTTATATATCTCTTTCTATTATCTGTGCATATCTATTAGATCCGATGCATAAATATAGCATTAATGAAAAAAATAAAAAGAAACGATATTTGTAATATCGTGTGTATATCATCTACCTCAACTTCGTTTCAAATTAACGTTTATTACTCGGGTAGTGTGACAAATGTATGGAAACGTTATTTTCCTCGATAAATACTAAATTTATGAGTGACCTCCTAGACGCGTCATTGAAAATGCGACACTGATGAGCAATATATCCCTAAGAGTGCGCAATTAATTAAGATTATCGCGATATCCCCTCGACTTTCGGACTTCGACCCTAATTTAGATTCTCGATAAAATCTCCATCGTCAGCGACGTACCGTATAATCGTTCAGTGTCTTCTCGAGGTTCTCCCAAATGCGCCCTATCATCCCTGACACGGACGATCACCTAATGGCGCCTCTATCGTAGACTGGCATTACACAATGCCGAGATATCGCGTGTAACGGGACACCGGCGGCGGTTTTGCAACGAAATGGAACGGCAGAAACGGAATACGGTCTGCCGGCGTTGTCGACGGCGTGCGTAACGTTATACGCGAAGGATATATCGAATGAAGTTGTTCAGCTAGTGCCGGCCGCTTTTTTCTACGCGCCGGCTAATTCTCCGAGATGGATTTGCGGCGTTTTAAATGAGCGACGCGGAGTTGCGTGCCGCCGGTGCCGACTCGTCGTCGATTAATTAATTACTTTGATTGATTACAGGCTGACGGACGGGCTTGCGTGGGCGCTCGTGTAATCTCGCCGATGTATTTCGACCGCGGTAGCTGGAGTATATTAAAAAAAAAAAAAAAATTGCTACGTTCAGGTAAATATTTACTAAGGAGTATCGTAGTAATTTATCTTCTTTGGATCGAGTAAATATTTGCTTGAACGTAGCAATTTTTCCGGTGCACGCATTCGTGCGAAATCTCGCGGGAAATCAATAGGCATTTCTCGCGGACTTATCGCGCCGACGACTGACTTCCGCACGGGCGGAGATCTCCTGACTTTTTTACACGGCGCGTCGCGCGCGCACAATTGCAACCGTTATTAACGATCGTGGGTTTTATCCGGGAGAGCAATTGGCGGGAGAGAGCGATTGTGCTCGTTGCACCACTTTACGAGATTTAATGTATTCTTATACCAGCTGCATGTGTCGACCATGATGCAATAATATCGCTTGTTTCGCCTTGTTTTTCAGATGAAATATCGGGCGCCGTTAATTGCGGCAGCATGTAGCTCGCCTTGAACGAGTCCCCGGTTCTTCCCTTTAAAATCGCCGCGGGATGCGAATCGAAAAGTCGTCCGGCCCGACGACGCCCGTGCCTGATTAAATCCGCAATCCGTAACCCTCGTTCGGGCCGGGCGACGTTGATCCCCCGCTCTTGGCGAAGCGTCATCGGGAGACGCGAGCTTCCGACGATCGCGATTCACGGATCTATCTTACTCTTTCTCGAGGATTTATACCGGGATCAAAGACGGCCGTGGTTCCGGAGGAAACGCAGAACCGTTCCCCGGTAGACACCCGGACAGCGCAGATGTCGAAAATCGGGACGTAAGAAACGTTTCTCAGACGCGTTAAAAGCTGCTCGGCAATCCCGCGGCGAGCAACGAGACCTGCCGCCGACTCGAGGCCGCATCTGAACACGCGGAAATGAACTTCGCTCGCGTCGTCGGCGCGGCGGAATATATTGTTAATCGTCGCACACGCTCGCCGGCGCGCTTCCTCGACGATCCTGCCACGGTGGTGGTGCCCGGCGATATATGATTAGTTCCTGATTGCGCTCGCCGCTCTCGTCGAGAGCTCGGCGGTAACCATCATCCGCGTCGCGGACTTGTTTCTCCAAAAGGCTCCTCGGCGCACCGCCAATTTTCAGCGTTGTTCGCGAAGAGCATCGCGAGCAACGCGCTCCTCTTTTACCGGAGCGCGACGTGTTATTTCCAGAAAAGAGCGCGCGGCCCGTGGCGCTCGAGATTACGGACAATTTGCGATACAGCGACGACGGGTGATTGGTGCGGCGATACGAATCTCCGGGCACAATGTGACTTTCCTTCCTGGAGAACGGTCCTCAACCTCCTCCTGCCCCGGCTCTCCTGCACCGATTGGCATCCCATAATTGTTCTCCGGACGAGCAATTAAAGCTCACGATCCCGTCGATCGGCGGGATGATTAGTGCCGCGCCGATGAAACTAATCGCCACGCCGCGTCTCGCCGAGGCCCCGTCTCTCTTTTTGAGCGAGACGAAGCGACGAGATCGCCGGGGACCGCTTCGGGGAGTCACGGGTATTCCGATCGGATCGAAAGGCGGGCCCCGCTGAAGAAGAAAGAAAGGAGAGCTACTCTCTCGGCACTCCCGAGCACTCGGGACCTTTGTTTTTTCTCTCTTTCTTCTTTTCGCGCCAGACTCCCCGGTTTTTCCGCGCGTAATGCGCCGAGAGACACGCGAGCGCAAGAAACGCCTCGTGGCGCCTTTATCTTGCGGCGCGCGCGAGCGCTGTATTATTAAAACAGCTTCTTGCCGCGCGCTCGACACAATGCGAGCGGCCCGGAAATTGAGCGGGAGAGAGTGTGTACAGCCGGTGTGCGTGTAATCGATTATTAATAAGGACTGTGTTCAGCTAGCGAGGCTGCCGTTTCCGACGAGAGCCCGCTTACATCCACGATGATTTAGAAGACAGCCGCTCGCGCCGCTTCGCTCGGTTAGCGCGTATTAAAACTTCCTTTTTTCCCCCCTCGCATTAACGAGGAACACGAGCGTCGCTCCGGAGCGCCCGTGACGACGAGAGCCTCACGCACGAAAGTCCTCGGCGCGGACGTAGTCGTCTTGTTGTTCGTCTTGTACGTGCTAAATATTTGAGTCAGGTTGTCGTCGGCATTAAACGACGAGCAAACATCGCCCCGATACACCGCGGAAGAAAACGCTGCACATTTATCAAGCGCAAACAAGGCACCGTTCCATCTGCCTGCTTGCCCGCCAGCCTGTCTGCCCGCCCGCCCCGCCGTCATCTCTTACAGTAAGTCAACTAGATCGGATAATGAGTTTCTTGCGACGTTCGCGATAATTTAGAAAGAGAGAGAGAGAGAGAGTGATCGATCGAACGGACGGACGAACGCACGAAAGCGGAGACTCGTTAAAAGCGTCGCCGTGTTTTAACCCATTAACCCGAATGTATACCTCCCCCCCCCCCGCGTTTATTCGTGCACTTCGGTAAAGAGAAAAACGGCGATCGCACGAATATACAAGTCGGGAGGAGACGCTCGACGTGCGCGTGTGAGAGAAAAAGAGAGAGAGAGAGAGAGAAAAAAAGAGTTTACTCAAACCTGGGATTAAAATCCTTTTGATTATACAATACAGTACCTATTGAAGTGAATGCTAGCGAGTGAAGCGATACAATGAAAGAACGAGAGTGCTGAACAATCAATACAGTATTAAATCCAACCAACATCAACGACGAAAAGGGAAAGCGTGCATTGAGAGGTTTGGTGACAATTATTAAGATTTGGTTAAATAGTTTCTACCAAATTGGTTATTGTAATCAAATCATTTGGTACCACATACTATAACTGCAGTACCTTATTATATACAGTATGTAATAATAAATGATTTGATTGCAGAAACCAAACGATTTAGTTGAAACTATTCAACCAAATCTCAGCAATTGTTACCATATCCTTCTTTCAGTGTGCAAGCGAAACGAACAAAGATATTTGTTCACATGCATAGTTGAGTAGTTTAACAGTCGCTCAAGCAACAGAAACTCAAGCGACGCAAAACGCGAAGGAAAACCGTAGAAAAACAGAAACATCGCAGAAAACGCTTGAGAACGTGGAAGAAGTGCAAAGTAAAGTATAAGAGAAACGCATGAGTAACGCAAGATAAATGCAAGAGAGAACGTGCGGGAAACGCAAAAGAGAGATAATTATTTTTATTTCCGTTCTCTAGAGGACAGTCTTTTAAAAGCATTTATAGTAATGTTTTACTAATATAGTTACAATCAAACTTTACTAGAGAGATAGATGAATAAGTGTGTTTATTTACCCTGAGGCTAAGCCTTCCTGAAAGACTTTACACAG